ATGGGGAGTTGGGGGGCAGGGGGAATGGGGGCAGGACGACGGGGGCAGGCATGAGGGGGGATGGGGAGTTGGGGGGCAGGGGGGACAGCGGGCAGGTGTGAGGGCGGATGGGGGGGTGGGGGCAGAGGGTACGGGGTGGGGGTGGGGACAGGTGTGAGGGGGGACGGGGGCAGGGGGGGACAGGGGGCAAGTGTGAGGGGGATGGGGAGTTGGGGGGCAGGGGGGATGGGGGCAGGCATGACAGGGGACAGCAAGGTGGGGGGCAGGGGGCAGCAGGCTGGGACGAACACGGGAATGGTGATAACGCCCCAGTGCCCCATCTCTAGGGCTCCGTCCCCGTGGCCCCATCCCCCTAGGCCTGGCAGCTCCAGCCCGGCGTCGGAGTCTGGAGCCACTGGACCCGTCACGCTGCGGGGCCTTGGCCGTGGGGCCCTGGCCGTGGGGCAGACCCTGGCTGTGGGGCAGGCTCTGCCCGGCCGGGGGAATTCGGAGCCACGGGATAGGCTGGGCGGGGATGGGGACGAAGCCGAGAGGCGGCCGGTGCCTGCGGGACCAGGGGCCGGGCTAACGGACGCTGGCTCCACCCAGGGCCGACAGACACGGGGATGGGGAGACGGAACCAGCCGGGTCCCCAGCTCCAGGCCACACCAGGGCTGAGCCGCTGCCTCTCTGGGCTTCCCGTGCGGTGTCCCGGGGTCGGCAACCTGCTCTGGGGGAAAAGGCTCCTGGTGCCGGGGCTGGTCCTGGCTGGGCGCGTGGGTCCCTGTGGGGCGCACGAGGCTCCCCCGGCTCCGTGGGACTCGCTGGCAGAGCTCGTGGGGGGCAGCAGGAGGGCTGGAGCCCTGAGGCTCCGTCGGAGGCAGGGAGAGGGGGACCCCTGGGGTAGGGCAGCTGAGGGGTCCCCCCAGGAGCTGGCTGCAGGTCCAGGCACAGCACGGGGCCCACCGCACTGACCTGCGTGTACGTGTCCCGGATGCTGAAATCCACCAGCACCATGATGAGGATGGCGATGGGCACCCCGAAGTCCCCGATCACCCGACGGATCTGCAGAGAGCGGGTCAGTGCCAACCAGGGTGGGCCCCAGGAGCTCTGCCCCCAGCTCTGCCCTCCCTGCCCCCCAGCGAACCCTGCCTGCCCCCCAGGAGCCCTGCCCTCCTGCCATGGCACAGCCTGCAGGGGCCTGCCCCCAGAACTCTGCCCCCCCGCCCCCCAGCGCCTCTCCCTGCCCCCAGCTCTGCCCCCCCAGCGACCCCCGCCCCAGAACGCTCCCCGCCCCAGCTCCGCCCCCCCGCTCCCCCAGCAAACCCTGCCCCCCAGGAGCCTTGCCCCCCCTGCCATGGCACAGCCTGCAGAGGGCTGCCCCCCAGCCCTGCCCCCCCCCGCCCCCCCCCCCCACCCCACAGCTCTGCTCCAGCCCTTCTCCCCCGGCCCCCCATGCTCAGGCCCCCCACGGCCCCTCGGCCACCCCTGCTCACGTACCCGCCCCGGGAAGAAGCGGCTGTTCTTGAACTTGCGCAGGAAGAAGGCGATGAAGAAGGTGCCGGCCATGAGCACCAGCGAGAGCAGGGCCGTGTTGGGCTGCCCCGTCACCGCCGGCCCGGCCCGGCCCCCCGTCCCGTTCCCCAGGGGCGCGCTGCCGTTCTCCACACCCGTCCCGTTCCACAGGGGCGCGCTGCCGTTCTCTGCGCCCATCCCGTTCCACAGGGGCGCGCTGCCATTCTCCACGCCCGTCCCGTTCGCCCGCCCGCAGCCGTGCAGGGGGTGCTCCTGGAAGATCTGCCGGGAGATCACGGGGGCCTGAAATCCTGCCCACATCCCCCCACGCCCTCCAGCCAGGACAGCCCCCAGTGCCCTGCCCCCTCCAGCCCCCA